GCAGATGAACCGACGTTCCATACGGCCAGAGACGAGCCTTCATCGGTTTAAAATCTTCCATACACTACTGTCGTAACGAGGGCCGGCAGCGCCGCTAGTTCCGTCGCCATGGCATGCAACAATGGTGCGTAAATGAAGTTCGGAGCTGGTGGCCTACTTCTGCTCGCATGTCTGAAATTACAGTGGCTGGAATAAACAGTGTTCTGGCGATACGATCGATGCGTCGCGAGCGATGGCCCGGGATGGCATGCCGTGCGATGCACGACCGATGAGTAATAAAAGTAGCGATGACAACGCTTAACAATGGTGCGTTTTGCCATCGGCCGGGGTGTTCTTGATTCCGTGAACACGAGCGCTGCAGCATACTTCAATCAGAGCCGGTAGCCGTACCCTGATGGAGGGGAAACGCCCGCTCGAGGGGAAAACTATTGAGGAACGACCATTCTCCAGGCTCATTCCGAACAAATCAGCTAACAAGTCCGCATTCACTTTTTCGAGGCAGTTCGAGTGTAGCTTGGCGATTCCGTGCCGGATCGCTCGGGTCAACTTTTCGAGTGAGTATTCCAAACACACGGTGCCGGACATTGGATTTGCCGTGCACGCAGGACCCCGAACGGTCTCCTGCAGTTGAACTGCAGGTAGGAAGCGGACGTTTAGTGTGACTCGATGCCCGGGGCGACATTGCCGGCAACGTCATTATCGAAGTCTCTGAAAGGCTTCATCGAAGAGTTCAATCGATACTTCCAAAGCCGAAACGCTCTTCTTCCGCCCTCTCGCATGTCGTCGGTGGGGAAGAGAGCGAGGATTCGAAATGGACTCCGATTCTGCTTCAGCCACCGAACGTCTTCATCTACTTGTCGTTTCGATTTCATCCGTTTCTATTTGATTTCTCTTCTCTCAGTCCTAATGTCTTTCTAGTCTCTTCTCTTGTCGCTTTCTTTCCCAGCTTGTCGTTCCCACGGCGCTGTTTTACATACGATACTTTCTTCGTCTCAGCCGCTCGGACGGCCGCTCGCTTGTTTCTTTCCTGCTCGCCGTCTACCTCTACATCAATTGCTGCGGTGCCAGTGCCGTTGGATGCCGTTTCTACTGATCTATTGAATTCGGGAAGCGATAAGACATTCTGTAGACGGGAAAATCAGGCGCTCCGTCGAGCAGAGAATCCGGTGTAGCCCCTCCCCTTGAGAAACACCAAGCACTGTTTACGGTCGTCGGCGTCGGTATCAGAATGCCCCCTCTCTAAGTACGAAGCGATTGAAATCCGCTCGGGGATCATACGGAGAGCGGGAAACAATCGTGAGGGTTCTCTGTGGTTTCCCGTCGGCCCGCTGAGCCAGGGGAATCAATGACTCGGGTTAAGAAGCGATCTACGAGCCGCGGGGCTTCGGACATTCCACGCCATCTATTGCACAAGAGGAAAAACCCAGTATCGTCATTGGACGACAGATATTTGCGAGCGTGTATATTTCTGGATAGAGAAGAAAGGGAGCGAATGTACCGAACATCGGCGGATTTGAGCATAATGTCGCTCTCTAATGATCGTCAAGAAATGAATACCAAAAGCTCGGTACGCCGCTTGGAGTCTTCGATGAGTCCCGTGGACGAGAAACGGAATCGGAGAGCTGGCTGTGACTGCGATTGAAATCAAATATCTCAGTGCAGCGAACCGAAGCGTATTGGAGAAGTGCCTTCCAAAGGTTCCGAAAGCTTCGAGGGCATCAGACCGTCGGAGTAAGAGGAGATCAGATCGACAGCAAGTCAGCTCGAGAAACAAATCGGAACTGATTTGAGAATGTCTCCGTTCGCTCCCCCGCTCTCTCGGATCTGCAGACGTCAGCCGGAGACATCGGCGTGAAAGTTTTCGACATGAAATGGATCCAAGTCCCGTTGGGACTCAATCGGGTAGAGGAAAGAGAAGGGATTGATGGACGGATCGGAGATGAAATTTTTGCTGGCTGCCGACCGCTGCAGACGTATCGCCATGCCACAGGAAGACTGCAATCGGATGAGATAGATAAATTTCTCGGTTTGGTGTTTTTGGCACGGTCTGGACAAGCGCGGTCGTGTTGTGCTGATGAACTATGGGGAATATGTTCATATATCCCTGGAACGCCCGAGCTTGCTCTACGATGAAATACTAATGAAGATAAGATCGAGAGAGGGGAATCTGGCGGAAGGTGATTTCTTTCGACTCGCGTAAGACCCTGCGACTCCGTGAGTGCATTGTGATCGGCGCAACGACTTACTGAATCAAGAGGGGAAAAATATAGGGATCATCTGTTCCCGACTTGACGTCACATGCACAATATCGGTCCGCATGAGATAACGTACGAGCGCCGATCGGATGTCATGAGAACGGCAACGATCCATCGGTAGCGAGGATTCACACGGTATCGAGCGCTTGCAGCCGTGTTTGCGCGAACGCGCTCCTCCTCATCTGGAATGTATCGATCCGAGAGGCCGATGACGCTCAAGCAGCATTGGACATATCCATTCTCATATTCATCCGATCGACCATCGGTTTTCCTAAACTCCGTTTATCAAGCTCATCCAGTTGCACGACTGACTGAGCCGCCAACGGAATGCTCATTGGATTGCCGGGTCGACCGGGCTGCATCCACCCGAGAACAGTCCACTCGGGAGTTGAAATCACCTCAGCTCAAGGGAGCATCGCGCGAGCTTTTCGATACTCTTTCCGATCGAGTGCCGACTCGATGATTGGCGAGCCGAGAATTCGGCTCTGACGAGTCCACATGGACGGTGTCCCGAGCTACATAGATGTCACAGCTTAGAATCAGGTAGACGGCTCTCCCTGTGAGAACCCACGGAAACTCAACAGAGACCTTCCAGAGACTCTTCGGCTTTTTTCCGGAGGCCTCTGTGGAACCTCATTACTTAGCATCATTCTCATATTGGGAAAAAACGAGACTAACTCGCTGGCAGGCGCAAAACAATGGCTATCTAAATTCTCTACTTGATGAAGCGACGGACAGTTTATACGACGACGGCATCGCGGCGATGGATCCCATGGAAATTTGAGGGGAGTCGCTGCAGCTCCCGTGCCCGATAATGATACATGTTTTCGCTGACCACATCTTCCTTCGAGCGCTTCCGCTCGATGCCGAACCGTCACATTTCCCGAAGTCTCCAAATGCATTGGATCCAGACAACTCGCTGCATGGTCTCGGACGTCTAATTTCTCCCCTCCCTCGGTATCTCTCTATCGGAGGGCCATTCTGATGCAGAACGGCGACAGTGGGTGATTTCGTCCGCCGTACACCTGTCGTCATGCCCGTCTACGTTTACTCGGCTCATCTCACCTTTTGTGCTTTGAGGCGCAGCACCTGTCCGCTTCAGGTTGACGACAGCGCGAGCTCTCCGCGACGGACCTGAACGCTCTGAAAGAGAATTGAATTGTTTGGTCCGTTTGCTTTCTCGGCTCCTCGCTGTGTCACGTCCGCTGGAAGCACCGAGGAGAACTTCAGTGAGAAGGCTCCGGATTCACAAGATATTGCGAAGAGAAAAATTTCAGATGAATCTCTCAGCCGGTTTCTGACTTTCTGCTCTCGAGTTCGACAGCTCCACTCCGACGTCGAACGAGTAGTGAAGGTGGAGCTCGTGGAGAACGAACGGGTGAAAAAGCTCCAAGAGTCGCCCCTAGCTGCGATGTAATAGTATATACGATATTTCGTCCGAAAGTACTCCTTCTAGTAGTGTGACGCGAGCGGATCGAGACGCGTGCGTGCGTGTGGCTCCGTCAAGCGTGCAGTTACTCCCACGCCACCGCCGTCACTGGACCGTATAATAGCCACACACTTAGCCAATAGCTGCAATGTTGATAAGTGAATCGCATAAACGGTCTCGTGATGATGTCGCTCATCATCGCTGCCGCTATCTTCGTGCTGCCGACTTGCCGTGATTCACGTGGACATTAGAACAAACATCACAAGCTGCTCGCAGCTCATCGAATGCGGGGAATCGGTAGGAAGCGACTCATCACGGAGAATCCGTTCTGCAGCTTGCCAAAAACATGCTCGCCAAATGGGGCTCATCCCTCAACCCTCATTCTCCTCTACGAAAATTCAGCATGACCGGAGCTCTCTAAATCATAGCGAACGGAACCTTCCATCGAGTCGAGACTCTCGAATCTGATACTCCCGTCTGTCTCCGACGTCGTTCGGACGCCGGGATTCTGGAGCTGGAGAATCCGAGACAGTCTCGCTCGTGGGAGAGCTCATCTGTCAGGCAGTGAAGGTTCACGATGAGACCCGATCGAGCTTCTCGGAGGCGGGCAGTTGGTGAATACATATTTGAAGATGGAGCGTGAACTCGGTCCTAAACCCACGTGCAGAAGCCTCGGCCAACTCGCTCTCAATTTTTCTCTGCCTTCTCATTACTCCGAGATGCATGATGTGATTCCTGTGGAGCCTTGTCGGATGTCGCCTGTGCGGACGGTGCTTCTTTATCGGTCATTTCATAATCAGTTGAAGGTCCGGATGGGGAACAGCTCTTCATACTTCGGGACACTAGATAATCGACTCGTTTCATCTTATCGAATGAGGGGTCTCGGTGTTGTTCGTCGGGGCTCCTTCGTTTTCATGCTATACGTATGTGTGTTCTGCGAGGGGAGGATCGATGAATTTCGGAGGTGCGATGGGAGGAACCCTTCCGACATTAACGCGCTCCCGTGCTGTTTTCAATGTCAAACTTCTCATAGAGAACCATCCGAAGTGAGCTCTTCCCGCGGTCGGGAAAACCGCCGGATATCGGGGACAATTAGGTTTTTTCTACTCTTGTACTCAGAAGTTCGGTAACGGCGATTCTCGCTTTTACTGCCGGCGGTAGCGGCGGCAGAGCTGCTGCGGGAGCTGCCATTTTTTCACGGCGGTTCATCTTTCCGCATAAAAGGATCCGAGAGCAGGGACGTCACGGGCAGGTCCTTAAAACTGTCTGGACGAGCTTCTGGGCTGCAGCGACCAGCATCCACTCCGTGGTTAGCGATGGCCACTGCGCCACAGCAAAAAACAACGCTACCGGCAGAGACACGAGACGATGTCCAAGATGAGGATGACGATGACAACGACCACGACTACGAGCATCTGTGTGAGAGGAGGGTGAACTAAGCACCGACCTCAGAGAAGTCACGGCCATCATCACCGCGTAGAGTGCCTGCAAAGGTCCCCAGTACTTGGACGACAACGACGACGAAACAACGACCGAGCGGACAGACCACCGCTCGCTCACTCACTCACTCGCTCTGCGACGCTTCCACTCCCTCTCACTCTCCGGCTTTAATTGTGTATTCCGCTTGATTCTCTTTTTTTTCGTCATCTTCTGTCGTTCAGGGGTCGTCCATCTGGGGTCGCTGATCGCGTTTCTCGTCGGTGTCCACGAAAAACTTTTGTCTCCCTCATTTGCCGGATTTCTGGCTGCTTCACTTTACCTGGCAAACCGAGCTGCCTCAGTCGCCTCATTGTCGGACCGTACATCCGTGAGTTGGTCGCTTCAAAAGTTGTCGTAAACACTAAAGCATCCGCGACTACTTAGAGAAAGACTATGACTGTGACTCTACCGTGTTGCAGCGCTTGAATAAGGCTGGTTCTGAAACAGATGAGAAAAATACAAAACTTGACGAAACTACGGCAAAGCGACATGTGTGCGGCAGCCTCGACGAATGAACCATGCTAGGGCTCCTCAATCAATCCGGCGGACGATTCACGCTCTTGCCATTAATTTAGCTCTAAATCCGAAAGTCACCAAGCATTCCGGTTGGCGAAATATGTATCCCGGCAAGATTTCCGGGGCAAGTGAGCGAGATTCATGCGAGAGGCTTGACTGACTGGATCTTTTCTTTCCAGCGCGATGCGTACAGCAGAGTTTCCGAGTGAGACCCACGAACTCGGAAGTTGTGGAAGGTCAGAGCGTCTACATGCGTTGTGAGGTCAACAATCAGGACGGACAAGTTCAGTGGGCAAAGGATGGATTCGTGTTGGGTAAGTGTGGAGAGTTATTGGAATTTTTTCGTGGGTATTTCCGTTGCTAGTGTCCTTCCAGGAGCCTATGCGGTTCTGGGTTGACTCGAGAGCGATCGGGTGGTTTTCAGCGAGCCTAATTGCGGGCTTCAAAGAAAAAATTTATTATAATTCCGTCGAACGAACATGAATGTGGAGCAGGTGACTTTTATCTCAGTCAGGGTAAAGCCGTGGATAAAGCCAACAGCGCCAGTCTGCCGACCAAATGAGCTAGTGCGAATAGCAAAACAGGCGAGCGAACGAACTCACGTTGGGGTCATAGCAGCACCGTTCAGCGAGCGCTCCGTGGGATTCGTCTCATCCGCCAAATACAGAGAACGGGACGAGTGAAGCCGGTGTTATCTTGTTGAGCCGCTGTACGGAGAAAAGGTGACATCTCACCACGCACGGCATTAGAACACGCTAGCGTTGTCTGGCGTCCAAGACGGGGCATTAAACCTGCACCGGGAGATGGACAAATGGTTTGGGGTGGAGAAAAAATTTGTCAGAAACTTCAATCGATGAGTGGTGATGTATTCTCCTGCTTGACTCCTTGAGGACTTTCATCGAATTCTATCAGCGTCAACCTTCAGTTATTCTCGAGGAGAACGCTGCTTGTCGGATTCATGTGGTTTCCGCACATGATCGATGGTCAAATCGAAAAGAATCGAATGATATAACACTCGAAAGAGTGTTGAAGCGAGACGGACCTTACGATAGGGAGCTCCTCCGTGAGTACGCTCCTGGTGTCCCGGGAATCGCCGAGTTACAATTTTCTGGAGCGTTCGCCCCTTTGTGATTCTTAGAATCGCGGGGATCATTCTCGGAGCGGAATGATACGGAGAGTAGCAGGCAGCATCTAGAAAGCCCGATTTAGATTGGCGACCCGACAAAAACTGCCTCCTGCAACGTATTTGGATCCTTCTGGCTCCCGCTTCTTATCAAGAGCTCTGATACGTTTCTCTTTCCTGATATCGATCAGTTCAACAGTCAGTCAGCCTCCCAAGCCAATTCAGCGGAGCCCGCTTCGGTCTGAGACCCATGGAAACAAGCTACTCGATAAAAATCAACCCATCTTTCGCATCGCGTCAGGAACTCGAGGTCCGATCTCAACAACTGAACTATTGGAAGGGAGCAGGCCTCGACCTCCTGGAGGGGAGGAGGAGGTCTTTCCCGCCGAAAAGACCTTCCTAGTCGAGCTCCTCCGGAGTCCGGTCGTCGGAGTCTTCGGAAAGTGGGAGCCTGTTCATCGAGACAAACGCTCCCGCCAGCGAGGCCGGGGACTCAGGGAACTTGATTAGTAGGAAGCTTCACCTAAATGCTGGGCGCAGTCGCATCCACTTAATATCATCAATTCGTGAATATCGAGTGCAGTGCTGAATTCACGATTGTTTGGACTAGGGCGGAGCGACCTTCTCAGAGACGCTCCAATGAAGAGCATGGGTCTTCCCAGCGGGCAAGCGGAGAGCTAGTTCGCGGACTACTTGGTCCTTGATTCTCGTCGGTTGCGCTTCCGAAAATCATGTCCTGAACAGGTCGCTGAGACGAAACTCGGTCGGTCGACCCGGAGTCCCGTGGGTCCAACAGACTGACGGACGTTTGTAAGGAGCACAGCCAGGAGGTGCAGATCGGACGTACTAAATATTTCACGAATCGACGGTCGAAATCCGTTGAGCTCTGAAGTAGCCGAAGGACACCTTCCCCGCGAGTCCCTTTTTTTCTGTAGCCTTTTCCTCCGGGTCGACCGTCCACGATGCTTCGGAGAGACAGGGATCTTCACGACGGGGATTTCTCTTCGCTTCTATTTTTTGGGAGCCTAATGGAAATCTACCGCGGATTTCCAAATATGAGTGTACGCCGTTGACGTTGATGTGTAATCTCTTGTTCAGAGCTCTGATTATCACGGGGACGATAAGTTTGTCTATCAATTCAAGTCTGTCAGGTAGTCGCCAGGTCTATTGTTCGTGCATCCGTTTCTTCGTTCGCCACGTCAGGGCGGGTGTGAATTTACTACTCCGTCTTCGAAAAATTGTTCCACTGAGAAAATCTAGCCGAGCGAAAAACTTGTGGAGCTCTCGAAAAACTTCTGTTATCGCAATTTGAGGCTCGCCGGCCGGCCGGCGGAGGGATAGATGCCATTGTTGCGAGTGGTTGTCGCGTTGGCTCGCTCGCTGATTTTGGCGTCGTCGGTCTTTGTTCAGCGTCAGCAGCCCTCCTCCACAAAGAAGTCGACTCCGCCTATTGTTACGCGCCGACGCTTTTCTTGATTCAACATAATGAGTGACTGGAAAGTTGAATATGTAAATAATTAAGAGCTCCAAGAGATCTCCTTCATTATGTCCGATAGATGAAGCCTCGGCGCGCTTCTCCGGAACGATCGGCGGCAGACGAGGGCCCCCGACCATGCGACTGGCGGAAAATATCTGCCGGGGGACATCGCGGATGAATTCCCGTACTCGGATTTATGATTGGTTATCTCATGTGCGCGATCGTGCCCCCTGCTTCGACGATATCACGACGGCGAGGGAGCCTAGGCAAACGAACTCTCTCGACGACACGTGCCTGTGTGTCCGTACGGAGTCAATATCTTTTCTTCGACTCGTCCCGTTTTCCGCGACCTCTTCGAGTGTTCCATCCTTCGAAGCATCTGGTTGTGCAAGGCTTCGCTGTTCTTCGCTGTTTCGGTAGTGATTGTAGTCCCTCTTCCATTCTTCTCGACTCCTTCTTGTTTTTTCCATAAAACTCTCTATATGGTCACTCGCACACTGTTAGCGTAGGCTGTAAAGAAACTTCCGCTGAGCCTCCTCTAGGGTTCGTTTTAACTATGCACTATTTCCGCATTGACGTTGAAACTGTGTTCCCTCGCTAACCTTGGAGGAGCGTACCTCACCGACCGCCTCGGGTAGCCTTCCAGCGTGGCTCTACGCGTGCTCGTTCGCCCGCATTTTCTAGCTGTGTTATTAACTCGGGGTTTGACTACCTACATTGCGCGCGCCGTCAACAAAGAAAAGCTACAAGTATCGAGGTCGTGTTCGAGAGAAGTTCTTCTGAGTCACTACAATGACGTCGGCCATTGAGGATTCGCTACGGAGGAATTCGTCGAGCGTTCAAAGGCGGGCCGCTGGAGAGACTTCCCAACGCACGGGTCACGCACGCGTGCACCCAGCCTAGGACTTGTTTTGGGGTGGAGGGGGGGGGGGTGGCTGGGCATGCGAGCTTTACAGGTGGAGGGGAGAGTTCGATTCGTTCATCGGACTCCTCTCGAAACTAATGAGATGCTTTAGACTTTGCGCCATCGGAAAACTCGAGCAAGCGTACCAAAAAGGTTTATCTGCTTTTCCAGGCTACGAACGAGATGTTCCCGGCTACGAGCGATACTCGATGAGCGGTAACGCCATGAGGGGCGAGCACCATCTGCTTATTTCGAACGCAACGGTGGACGACGACGGAGATTACCAATGCCAAGTTGCACCCGCCAAAAACAGCAAAGCAATCTGGGCAAACGCCAAACTCACCGTACTCCGTAAGTTCCTCTCCCATAATCGTGAGAAAATCCAATGGCTTTCCGTACGCGACTCAACGAGATCGCTGATGATTCATGGCGACTGTCTGCTGGTAGCTGCGATCTCTTGATCGCCTTGTTTTGTCAGGGTCGGTTCGCTTTTAGCGTCTTGGCAACATCCTTGAAGAACTCGGGGAATTGGCCCGAGCGTTTGGCCGACGTGAACTTCGGCCGCATGTCATCGCATAGGAGAAAGGCGTCCGAGACTGAGAAGATCACGTGTCCGTTCGTTCTTCGATTCCTCAGCTCTTCGTTTCGAAATCAGGACCGCGGCAGCTCTCAAGCCGCGGGCAGTGAATGACCCGCTTTTCGGATTGCCCTTCCCGTTTCCTCGAATGTGGCGCTTCAAGTTGCTTGCTGCGAGCACATATGACAGCTTCTCCTTTTGAAAGTCTAGCTCCGGGGCCTGGAAGTCTCTGAATGCGATTGCCAATGCACCGGGACGCATCGAAATCCCTCGTTGTCTGGGAGAGGGGTCTTCGTCGTTTTTTCGAGCCTCAAACTCATTTTTGGTTTGCGCGGCCGGCCGGCTAGCTGGGTAGCGATTCACTGAGTGAGCACTCTCTAGTTGCATGCCGGACTGAGCTCAGTCGGCGTTCGAGTCCCTTCAGCGAGCCGCTCACCGGTCTGGGGGACCGCGTGAGGGTTTCGAGCCAAAATCTCGGAAGGGAATATGGATGCGTCTCGAACTTCTCCCTCTTGTTCGCATCGTCGCGAGAGTGATGACTTTTAGCGCCGCCAAAGTGCTTCCGCTGAACTGGAGTGCTGTTTTGGTTGTGGCGCGAACCTGTTTCCCTCAGACTGTGGCGGAACGAAGAGATTCCGCGTGAAGAGCCTCTTTATTATTTTTGCTTGCGGTGTCCTCCCGGGCCTCACTGCTGGTCAGCCTTGGCTTGTCGCTGCTCCTGCTCTGTGCTTCTTCCCTCGCTCTCGTCTCCGTGCCAAGTTCGGGCTTCGAGGAGAACACAGCCAGTAAATCCTCGTCGTTGCTCGTTTCCTTCATTCTCAGTCGAAGTCATCTGATTCTGCTCACAAGCTCCGACCCGATCCGGGAATCGCGACATACGAGCGCTTAGAGCAGTGCGAACTCTACAATTACCTACTCCGACATATAGAGGAGCATCGTTGCCCTCCGAACACTCTTCCTTTTTTCGAGGATCTCCTGTCGACAGTCATGTCGGAGAAACGAATGAGTGAAGTACATACATATCTCCATAGCATGCAGGGTTCCGCCGACCATGCGCCAAGTCCGGCGGGCGCTCGCATTCCCGCGGATTGTGCATCGGGCGCTTGGTCCGATGGCACTTGTCCAAGCATCCAGGTTTCGCACCGCTCCTTCTGTTGGCACTCAGAGAATCTCTGTTGCCAGTGTCGCTTTTCTTGTCTCGTGTTTCGGCGCTTCGTCTTCTGATCTCCGCCTGCTGCCCTTCCCGCGGGTGCTGACAGACAGGCTCCCCCGGAGAGTCTGCAGCTACTGGTATTGCCGCTTCTCCTGAGCGTTGCGGAAGGAGAACAGCCGAGGAGGAGTAATCAAGAAATCATTTGTCAAACTTCCCGAGTCGCTTGCTTGCCAAATGCTGGTGTTGTCAGTAATACTCGTTGCTTGCTCGGCAAGACGTCGACGGACGGTTCTCGAACCTACTACGTCACAGTGGGTGGGAGATGCCGTCAGTGACTCCTCGCGTACCTACATGTGGACAGTGTCCACCGCCCCCTTTCTACCGATTTTCTCCGAGCTCCACTCCCGCGGGGTGCGATTCTCTCCGTGTAATTGTATCGAGAGCGCGCTTGGAGCAACTCTGTCACATGAGAAACAATAATTAGCCGTCGTCTCAAACCGAAATTACGTTTCGTCGCTGCCATGCGTCGGCCCTCCTCTCTCACACCCGACTGCGGAATTCTTCCGTTTCCTGATTCTTCCAACGCTTCTGGTCTCCCCTCTCGGCCGCTTCGAGCGCGACCGATGTCTTCGATAGCTAAGCCGAATCATAACGATTGATTGCTCTTGCAGTGCCCCCGAAGACTATCGAGATTTCGAACTACATCAACAACAGCGCTGTAGTTGTCAAGCAACACGAAATGATTCCGCTCTCCTGTGTGGTCGGTCAATCGAAACCTGCGGCAGAAATAAAATGGTTCAGGAATAACGCGGAAATACACCAGCCAGGTTTGTACGACATCTCCAGCGGCTGTAAGGACCCGAGTGCGAAGCTGTGAGGGAAACTGGATCACGGCCGACTGAGAAATCGATGAGCTCTTACGATGGTCGGCCTATCGCTTCCTGAACCCCACTCGGGAACTATCTCCGCTACGGGGAGGAGATTCCCATAGATCTTACTTAAGGTGACTCATGCCGAACTCCAGCCATGCTGTTCATTTTCCAGACATGATCGAGTATAAAACTATCGAGGGTGACAATGGACGCTTGTCAGCGATATCCACGATCACGCTCCGGCCATCTCCCGAGGACAACGGCGTGGTCTACAGCTGTCAGGCGTTGCACCATAAGCTTGAACCGCCCCTGATCTCGATGGTTCGACTATCGGTGCTCTGTGAGTACCTACCTATTTAAATCTTTTTCTACAAATCCTCAGCTTTTGATAAGAGAGTGGGACGAATCCCGGGAGGCGGGAGTCCGGATTCAACGCTAAGTGCCCAGGAAGACCGAGTCGAAAGAGAATCGTCAACCTTCTGATGGTGATGATGATGTCCTCATGAATCGTCATGAGGGAGGAAGGCTTCTCCTTCATCAAGGAACAAGAACATCCTCCTTACCCTGCCTCTGATCGATCCAGGGTTCCCAGTCATTCTTTTCAAGAGCGTCGCTCCAGAGTCGAGCTGCTTCCCATAGGGGAATACCTACCTACATAGTCAAGTTCTGGGAGTCGGAATCATATCGTTATGCCGAGAGCTGGCCATTCTCTCGAGGGCTGTAACGTTCAGGTTACGACTCCGCAGCCCTCGTCGTTAGTACGGCGGTTAAGCGAATACAGTTGCGAAGAGCGTGAGGGCATTTCTACCGCAGGAGTCGTCTGACCGGAATTCTTGCCATTTCAAGTTCCACCGGGCCCACCTGAAATCCTGGGCTATGCTGAAGGAGAAGTCTTACGAGCCGGAAACGCTGTTGAGCTCCGATGCGTATCGAGAGGAGGAAACCCGTTAGCGACAGTGCTCTGGTATAAGGGCAGCGACACGAAGCCCATCGACAGCCGTTTTACTACCACGAATCGTGACAGCATAAACCCGTTGAAATTCATCGCTAACGCTTCCGATAACAACGCCGTTTATCGATGCGCTGCCTCCAACCAGATCAGCAAGCCCGAGACGGCTCAAGTGAAGCTCTCGGTTCATTGTAAGTAGATTTTCCTCGGATTCGCGCTCGAGACGAACGCGGATCGAGTCTGATCGAAGTGTCGCCCCTTGTTCGTTGCCGCGTCGAGAGGAAACATCCCAGAATGAATGCAAGGCAGGACTATTGGTCTCGGCCACGTTCCTTGATACGCTCGTCTCCGGCGTCACACGATGTTTGCTGTGGGATTCGGGTGAACGCTTCGTTGAGCCCGAGTCCCGGGAGCAAAGAAGACCTGTATGGCGTACATATAGATTATATGTGCGAAGACTCGTGTATAGTAATTATTATTATTCGCCCTGATCGATGAAGCTCCCTCTGTTTTTCCTCGCTCCGATTCGATCCGATGCTCGCAACAATGACCACTGCTGCACCATTGTTGCACGGATTTCCAATAAGTCGAATATTGGCCGAACAAAGAGCGCCCTCAACACATATGTCGATCTCAGTGGCACCAAATGTCGTGGCAGCGGTCAGCGGAGACACAAACTTTCGTTGGAGTTCGTGGGCTGCGGCCCACCTCTTCCCAGCCACCGTAGTTTGTCTGACAAAGTTCGAGCGATGAACAGCGGGGAATGTCTAGCGAGGAATCCACTAAACAAGTTCCTAAATCCAGATGGACCGAGCAATGCAACGATCGAGCACGACCCTTCGTCCACCGCGAAGGTCGGTGATCGCGTTACGATGAAGTGCCGCAGCGCTCCTAGCAACCCTAAGGCGGACATCTCCTGGACCGTTGACGGCCGACCTGTCAACGGGACCAAACCTCAGAGCCGCTTGGTGGACGGCGGATGGATAACGACATCGGAATTGAGCGTCGAAATCACCAAAGAAGGCCGGAAAATGAAAGTTTTCAACTGCTATGCTGTCAACCAGGCGTTGGGTGAAACCGTGGTGCAGACGGCGGCCGTCGATATAATTTGTGAGTTTAACAAAATTCCTACTTTTGACTTCTTTCAATTCGGTTCGAAGAAGACCGGACATCTGCCAGCACTGACGGGCAGTGTGATGCCGGGGAAAAAAAGGTTAGCTAGGACCACTCCGAGCGGGGACGCTGCGCTAAAAAACGGGAAAGGACGATCGTGCCAACCACCGCCTTGTTTTTCCTTCTCTGTGCGTGGGAGCAGCGGGAGCATCAATTGCTATCAAGAATACCATTAGCTGGGATAATATCAATTAGGAATTACCTGTCTTGCCGTGTCTCTGCGCGGGCGGCTCTCTCCGTGCACCTTCCTACCGGATCCGCTGCTCAGCTGAGGGTCTTAGCTTCGTCGAGGATTCAACAGCACCTCCTGCCGCCTAGCTGGTCAGTGACTGGCTCTCGGTCGGTCGCTGTGACGCGTTAATGAAGCCGTCAGCAAGATAAATGTCTCCAGCCATCCATCGGTCGAGCGAGCTGGCGGGCGTTCAGTGCAAACCGGAAGGCAATCGATGCCGTTCGAGAAGACAGTTAGACGCTCACCGTTAATTCTTCTCCCGCGGACGCTTACGTCTCGCGCTCCTCGGTTTTTCCCTGTGCGTCCCGCTTTTCCGCCGCGCCCCTGTCGAGCTCCCTGAAAGTGGATCCGAGGCCTCCCCATCGGGGTAGACCATCGCTCGAACGCATAGAGCGTTTCGCCCCCGGATGATCTGATACGCCCCGAGCCTGCGCTCCTCCGGCATTAGAATGCGTTCCACGCGGCTCGATGCCCGCTCTTCATCAACACTGCATTTTTCGGGGCTCTGACAAATTTGTCGTTGCAGATCCACCCACGCAAACGAAAATATATGGATACAAAGATGACAAGCCGATGAAAGCCGGAGAGGTCTATACGCTGTTTTGCGTCACCAAAGGAGGAAATCCGCCTCCGCAGCACGTTTGGTATCGGGGAAACTCGAGGGTGAGTCTCTTGCTGTGAGACATCGCTGATTGGAATCATTCGGTTTTCTCCTCACTGTCTTCTTTTCTTCTCGGAGATTAGATTGAATTATAATGCTAATTCGCCCATCCGATTCCAGATGGAGAGCGTGTCCAAGACGGATAATGTCACCGTCAAATCAGAAGTCACCTTCACGGCAACGGAAAAGGACAATGGCCGCACCATTCGCTGTGAGGCATCGCAGGCGAACAGCGCGCCCCAGAAATCCAGCGTCACACCGAAAGTTGTTTGTGAGTACAGACCGCGGAGAACGCTGCCGTAGCATCGGTACAAATCGTCACCGACCCAGCTGTCCGCGCAAACCGGTCTCGCATCCCTCAAACCAATCTCGATTCGCAGTTGGACCCTATAACGTGTCGGTGACGGCCATGGGGAGCTTCACGGCCGGAAGAAACGCAACACTCGAGTGTCGCTCGGGATCTTCGAACCCTCCGTCTGAAGTAACATGGTGGAAAAATAACAAACTCCTCGAGGCTGGTCAACACGATTCGTCGATAAGCGGAAACTACGGCGGGACGATCGTTGTGTCGAAATTGATTCTGAATCCAGTACTGGCAGAAGATCACGGCGCCATAATTCGCTGCCAAGCAACTAATCCTCGGCTGCAGAGAAGCGAGCACCACACCATGGATCTCCTCGTGGAACGTGAGAAATTCATATTTACTCTCATTCATGGAGATCGCTCGACAGATGGGTGGGATTTGCATGCTCCGCGGGCCAAGTGCTGAGAGGCTCTCCGAATTTTCAGATTCACCGGTGCTCAGTTTACGCGTCGACTCACTGACGTTCCTCGAGGGAGATGCGGCTCTCGTACAGAACGTAATCGTCAGCGCATATCCGCTAGTATCACGTTGGGAATGGCTCCACGAGGGAAAACGAGTTCCAGTGGCCAAAGACGCCGAAGAGTACAGGGGTCCTCGGCACCGAGTTAGTTACAAAGCAGACAGTTTGAACTTCACCGAGATCCACCGAAACGACTCGGGCATGTACGTGCTGAAAGTTCAAAACAAGGTTGGCTGGGGGGAGACCAACTTCACCGTCGACGTCCATTGTGAGTACCGTATTCGGTTTGGTATAAGTGCGGAACGAAACTCCCCGAGTCTTTTTCCGCCGCGAGCTTGGGAACACCGCCCAACGGTGAAAATATACATGGTGGAAAGTATTCGGATCGGCTCTCAAGCGAGCGCGTACCCAAGTGTTTCCTACGAGTTCAGAACCTTCTGAGGAGTGGAGCTGACCTGTCCTCGTCCCACTATCTCGCAATGATACTCGCTCCGTCACTCAACGGATGCGGATTTCGGAGAATTGCCGATTTTTATCTATCTTTTTTATTCATTCAATTATCTCCTATTTATTTTCTCATCGAACCATTTCCCCATCTCAATCGTATACTCATCATTGACGCATCTCGGTTTCCACCGAGTGCACCTCTAGAGCCTCAAACTTCGTGGAACACGCTCGAAAGAACCTTGGTGTCCGTTCCTTCGTTACGATATTCATCTAATCCTAAAACCCTCTCGCTAACCGAATCCAATGCTTTCTGCAGATCCGGCGTCGATTACGCACGTCGATGAGGTGGTTTACGCGGATGAGGGGAGTAATCCGACTTTTCAATGTCAGATCGACGCTCATCCTGTTCACAACGGTAAGAAGAAGCACACGATATGACACGAGGACTAACGAACGGGGATCTATTCGGTCGGAGTGCGGATGAATGAAGAGCCTGTTCTTCCGGAGGAAACTCCGCTCGTTTGTGCGCTGAGCAGAAATCCAGCGTCCGAGCGTAGCGACGAACGAAGCAACGAAGGCACGGACGGCCCGCTCGTTCCCAGTCGGCTCTTCTTCTACCGGATAACTCGCTATCGGTTTTTATTGCAAGCGTGGCGCACGGTAGACAGAGCTCCGACACTCGAGTTCCAGGGAGAGGGAGTAAAGGAGGTGTAGTCGTAGGTATTTAGTGTCTTGGAGCTTCACTCACTTGGTCGACGCCGCCGTTGGTTCTCCGCCGTTGTTGTCAAGATACGTTCGCTCCTTTGCTTGTGTTCATCGTAACCCAGTGGGTGCGAGGCAGGGCGAATGGCTGACTGGCCGGCTGGCTGGCTGGATGACTGCCGAGCCGTCCGTCCGCCTGGCGAGCTCACAGATAGCCTCCGAAACCCATTGTTAGCCTGCTGCGACAGAGTCTTCCCTTGTTCCCCTCGCTGTTGTATTCTCCATTGACCCGTGCACGGCATTTTCTTATTGCAGACACTGTCTACTGGGAACGAGAGAATTTCGACATGACCAGGACGCGGACAACATTCAAGGGTCGCGCTGACGAGAAAACAGCTACCTCGTTCTTCACCGTCTTCAATGTCTCTAGAGCAGATATCGGTATTTTCAACTGTATTGCCAACAACAGACTCGTGACCAGCTCGGCGTCAAAAGGGGCTATGCTCGTCGTGAACTGTGAGTTTTTCCCCTATTCCCGAAATCCACATCCCGATGGACTCGACGGAGGAATCGAATATTGCACGTGCTCCGGAGAGCCAGTTGATCCGAATGCTGGCTCCTCTTTCGAGACACGATGAGATCCGAGAGGAGCCCTCCGAGCCGTGATAATGAGGCTCTAATTCGAGTCAATCGCTAATTGCAGTCAAAGCGGAAATCGATCGCCACCCAGCTCTTTCGAAGGCGGCCGCTAACGAAAGCGGCGTCGCCCGTCTCAAATGCCGAGCTGAAGGGGCTCGGGAAGTGATGTTCTCCTGGCGGCGCAACAACGTTGAGTTGCGCGGTCCGAAATACGAAGTTTTTCAACGACGTGTAGAAGGCAGCTACGTGCAATGGGAAAGTGAACTAGTTATCTCTGATGTGCGGACATCGGATTATGGAAATTACACCTGCGTTGCTCAGAGTGATCTGGGATTGGATCACGCTCAAGTACTTCTAACTACTATCGGTAAGTGCCACGATGGGACATGTCTCTCGTCTATGTAGACAGATATAGTGTTCTACTCGTAGGTGGGAGGATGTCTGGCCGGCTTTTCCGCGTTTTCCTCTCCCTTCTTGCTGATCGTGGAACCCGGGTAAAGGGAATCTCTACGCGTCTCCAATTGTAAGCGGGACCTCCATTAGGTATCGACGAAGCTCGGAGCATAAGACTTCCCGAATCGTGGAATAGCGTTTCGAAATGTGGTGAGACTGGCTCATTGTGGCGAGTCGGCCTCAGATGCCCTGTCTGGCACGTATCATACAGTCGCGAGGGTTGAGGATCAGATTTAGGGCGATCATACGACGAGACGAGATGACCTTCCCGATATCCATCGAGGCGAGGACTTCCGATGCCCCGAAGAGCGCGAGGAATCCGGAACTCGAGTTGTCACCGGACCTTGGCAGAGAATCCAAGGAAGCCTGAGCGTCATTCGTCGCCTCAGGACATCTCGAGCAATTGTCTACCCGGGGTTCCGATCGTGTACAGCCAGGGCGTGTCACAGCTCATCTCGCATTGGCGAAGATGTTTGCGAAACGACAGGTAGAAAGTCCACGCGGGAGAGTCATTCTGGCGGCCGCGACACCCAGACTGGCTGTAGGAGCGCGGTCGAGTTGAACACAGCACCGTCTCCTCGGATTTGGGTAAACCAGAGAGGGAAAGACTTACAGGAAGGAAACGGAGAAGACAGGGTGTCGACGAAGCAATGTAAGCCCTAAGACAAACATGACATCCCCAGCTGGCGCTCGCCTGCCGATACGGGAGCTGATCAACTGAGTCGTCTAATTGGATTTTGCGAGCGATATTTTGATTCAGAGCTGACTGACTGAGATTCACGCGAGCGGATCGATACGATTCAACTCGGAACAGCCGCACTAGCGAGGCATTAGGTCCAAGTGGAATGGATGTCGACGGTGGCTCGGAGCCGCGAGCCGGCAGGCGCTGCTCGCGTGTCACGTTCGGAGATTCGTGGAATTAAGTAAACATTCATACAATCGATGATACCTTGTGACAAACAGTTGTAATGGCGAGCGTGCCCACACACGACCGAGTCGGCGACGTCAAGACTGAACGGGCTATCCTCAAAGGGCCTCTTCGCTATGAATTATGCATCCGGTTCCCGCCGTCCGTCCGAATGCAAGTTGGACCGTGGCTGCGACGAGGACGACCGACCGACAACGTTTCCCGCATGGTCAGCTATGGCGGACGGAGCCGTAGGATACGCTCTGTGGATAGGGAGGCTGTCGGGGACCACAAAGAAGAATGGATGTTGGGACGCCGGCGCTGCCGTCCTCGAAGCCATATGCCGCACAGCCTATTTGACACTTCTGCGCGTTGGTGTCGATCGTCGCCATGCCGCCGCGGAGATTCGTCGGAGCTGTAACCTCAGGCACTGTGAATATTCCCCGGACGAGTTCCGTGACTCTCTTGAGATTTTCCTCTCGCCTTCAGAGGAGACTTTAGAAAGAAATGGGAACGAGTCGTGGATTCATTGCGAGGAGCCGTTCGATGATTTTTTTTCGAATGCTCGGCGTGGACGCGATTCAGCCTGTTGACGACATCGCGGGGCCAAATCGAGTTGCTGCTCGCGCGAACGATTCATTAACGAGCGCATGTCGCGTGGAGCGGTGAGTTGAACGTGCAAGCAATATCTGTCTTCGTTTGAGCCCTCGACGACGGCCACAACCAGGTGTACTTACAAATATTCAGCATAGGCAACGAGGCGGATTATATGTATGTATGTAGGTACACGTCCGCTCTAGCCAACCAGAGCTCGCTAAGCGTGACACTAGCTGGTTGTATGATCGATCTGTTCATGAATACATGACATTGCCCGTCGTACCTTGTCATGAGACCCACGATTTACGCGGTCTGCTCACAACCTCTCGGAAACGACGCCTCAACCCTCGCATTGTTCTCCTCGATCCGCTGCCTCCTCAGTCGGATCGTTCGCGTTTCAAGAAAAGTTTGTGACGTCTCGCGTACTTCCATCCGTCCATCCTATGCCCGGATGTCTTGCATGGACCTTGAAACTTCTCCCCGAGAACAAGGGAGCCCGTTGGTCCTCCCATGCCGCTCGGAGCCGCGACGGCACGAGTGACGAATCGACGACACCATGTTTGAAGATGTGGGGCTGCACGGACTCAATCAGTTGACAAGAATATCTGAAACGAGGTCCGTCGAGGCGGAGCACCATTCTCAATGTTTCCTTGAACATCCAAGGCGATCGCTGCCCGTAAACCTCTCCTTAGCACGTACATACATTCATCTCCGAAAAAAGCCTCCAATAAACGACCCATCCGGTCAACCTAGCGAGGGATATGCGTCGCTCCCATACCCGCTTCATGACAGAGTTAAGTATTTGGTCCCTGCACGGACACGAATTCGTCTCCAAGGAGGATATTCGTTGCACCGCCGCGCGCTGAAAAAGTGCTGCTCACAACTTGCGGCTGCTTGAAGAATCAGCTGAGAATATTCTTCCTCTCCGCGAAGTCGTGGACCTCGGCTTTTCCGGGAGGCACTCCGAGATATCGAGTGCGAACACAGGAAGCCGCAACCCTTTTCCTTTTTCGTATATCCGACTGCTCCAGACACCGACCTTCGGCCGATTTTGTGTGAGCTCCCGGCGATGAAATGGGGGGCGCAGCGGCGAGCGTTGCTCTGGATGTGCAAACTGGCGGCACGTAGAGACTATCTCATTCCATGCGATGCGTTTCCATGGGCCTCGTTCGTGGTACCGAAGCCTATTTGGTGTGTGGCTTACCATAAGAGAGAGAGTGGAAAAGATCCCTGTGTAGCGAGCGTGCAGACCAGCCAGTCAGGACAGCCGGGTACCGGGATTCTGTTTATGCCTCACTGGCCGCTGCCGCCACCGCTGTTGTTGCCGCCGCCACCGTCCATATTTGGTCGGGAGAAGAGGCTTTACTGAGCCTCGGTGAACAACGAACGGCTTGGTGTCCCCGAGACTGGTTGCTTGCAGACTCGCGTAATAGAGAGAAAGAGACGGAGGGAGTCAGCTAGCCGAGCACTCGTTCGTTTTCCAATGTCCGAGCCTTCGTACACTAACGTGCATCCATGCGAAGACTAGGAAGAAACACGGCGGGGTGGCGAATGCGGCAGCGAAGACGGTCCAGCCAGCTATGGGCGAGCCGAAGAGATAAAGGAATATCGTTCTCATCGGGGAGAGAGAAAGACGCAATTAATTTTGATTAGGTTATCGGATGGTGATGGGGCTGCCGTCGTGGAGCTTCGGTGGTTGGCCATAAGCTCAATAGATGAAGAAGAGCTTACAGGAGGACGGACCGACGAGCGAACGAACGAACGAACGTCGGAGGAGACCGCGTCGCTCCCTAACAACCTTTGAGGGAATCCTCCAGTTCGATGAGTTCCAATTCACTCGGTCGGCTCGTGCGTTCCTCCCTTCGTTTTCCCGTTCGTATCCAACGTCGCGGAGTTAGTGCTCTCCGTAGTGCCGAAAGCGCAATTCACCGTAACATACGAGCTCTTCAAGGAGCGTAAATACTCGAAACACTTTCGAAAACGGTCTCTTCGTCGCTCTCTCATACACCAGAGAATACATGTACAGACTGTGTGCGGCAAGTACCGCGAAATTCTGTTTACCCGAGGATTGAGAGCGGATTGTGGGAGACACAAAATATGCCAGCTTGCGGATGCTGCAAGCGTTCTAAACTGAGCTTTTGAGAGCAGATGGAATGGGTGCATTCGGTAAAAAAGAGCGTGGCCTAAACTTGCCTATGACAAAGCGAGCTGAGAGTCCATAAATCTCATCTTATCACGGGCAGACTCGTGTTCTCTATCTTTAAGCAACTCGCCTGAAGGCCGACAGACAGACAGACCGCCAGCCAGCAACGAAGTCTACCCAATAGCTTCGAATGGTCGTTTGCGGCCTCGTAGGCCCAACTGCTGGCAGTGGTCGGCTTGGTGGCAAGTAGTCGTTCGCAGTCTTGTAGCGGGCGAGCTGGTCTTCATGGTCCGGTGCTTTCCCTTGAACTTTCTGCAGGTGGTGCCGCACGAGAGCTCTTGTCCGAATCTCGACCGCGTACACACTCGAACAACTAGCAGCGACAACCCGGATGATCGTTGCTTGGCAGGCAGAACAGGCCTAACAGAATATTTCGCAAGCAGATAGCCGAGCGGCCTACCGACCGAAGACAACAGACGATTAATGACAAAGCCTCCCAATCCGGACGAGTGCCGACCGAGCATCGCGGCGAATAACGATGACGACGTTTGAAGCGGCGTCACAGACATCACTTCTCTCTGCATACATGAAAAGGAGCACGAATCCAACCGATCGCGGAGGATCGTGCCGTCATTGTTGTGGATCTTCCTGTGCAGCTCGACGTTCGCGGGCGGGGCCGGAGTGGAGGAAATGCCCGACCCCCTGTATCCGTCCTCTCCGATAGGAAGTGGGAATGAGAGGGAAACTTAATGCATCGATCCCGCCGTTGTCGTCATCGGCGCCACCGACACGTCCCCCTCCACCCTTGTCGCCGTCGTCCCCTGCCGGTGCGGCACAGGTCCCTAAATGTCGCGCGAACCTGGATAGCGTTAGTCATAGTGAGCTGTCGCTCCGAGCCGCTCTCTGTTCGGCTGTCATTCGGTGGCGGAGCATTCATGGATTTGCTCATTTGTCAAAGTAGCTCTGTTCGAAGCTCAAGTGGAGTGTGTTTCTCGATGGAACCGCTTCCCACTCAGTAGATTCCGGAATCGCGAGTTTGTTCGATTTGCGCCTGGGGGAGCATCTTCGGCTCCCACTTCCCGATGTCATGAGATGCGTCGATGCATGATCGGAACGACCAGTTGGGGCTTGCCCTTCGAGCTCGGAGATTTGTCCCCTCCATTCTCGTCGATGATTAGAGGCGCTTCAGAGGGTATCCGAAAATTAGACTCTCTTCCTTTGAACCTCTATGCGGATTACGTCGATCGAAAACTGCTCCCCGCCATCCTTATCCGGCTCCTAAAGAAGCGCATCCACTCCGCAGGTTCACCTGGAAATCCGGTTTTCGTCTCTCTCAGCAATGCCACAGTCTCGTCGATTGTGGTCAGCTGGGAGCCAGGTTTCAGCGGGGGACTCGCTCAAAGCTTCAAACTCAGGTACCGGCCCCACGATCAGCCGAACGAGGGATATATTTATCGTGAGGTGCTGACACCAGTCGTCTACAACGCCACCATCACTGGTCTCTACGTGGACACCGCGTACGACTTCAGCGTCCAGGCGTACAATTCTTTCGGAGAGAGCGACTTCACCGAAGTAGTAACCGGTAGAACCTTGGGTGAGTTCGAGATACGGATCCGGTCGCAAGAAAATTCTCAATGTCGACTCAAAGAAGGTTCTCGGTGCATTCGAGATCAAGAAACGAGTAATCGAGCTCGGAGGCATCTTTTTTTCTTACAGATGAAATTGCTGAGTCGAACGGACAACCTTTGCCCTCGGCGATCTCAAAAGTGGACATCCCGAAGATGATCATCACTTCGGTCTCAGTAGTGGGAACTTCACTGCTTCTGCTCAACATCCTTCTCGTGGTGTGCTTTGTAAGAAAAAAGAAAAGCAAGCGACAGAAGGACGAAGGTACCTATCATTCGTACTCAGGTATGCACGGTCCCCGCTCGGTTTTGTTTATTTCGACAAAAGTTTTCTTTCCCCGCATGCTGAGATCCCTTCCGAGAGGTTGAATGTTTTCAATTTTGGAACTCCCGCCCGCGATATGCCTGAGAAAGTCCGCTGAACGCTGTAATTCCCCGAGTATGAGCCAGCATGGAGCTCGGAATGAGAGGGAGAAATTCCCGGTCCCGACTAAATTTCCTCTTTTCTCTGATTCACAGAAGAGAGCGAGCATTCTGCGACAAAACCTGCCGCAATCGAAATGTATGCTCCGCCGCCCAGTTACACGAACGCGACTGTGGCAACAGCTGAAACAGTAAGTTCGGCTTCGGACAAAAGTGATACTGTGCACTTCAGCTCCGACGACTCCACTTCAAAGCCATCGTTCATTCTCGAGGGTGCCACGGAAACGAGCGTGCGTTACCAACAAGGGCACTCTACTTTACCAACGTTCTATCACGACGACTCGTGTAAGTGCTCGTACATACCCGCGCGAAATTATTGTACGTTCTCTCGTGATCTCGCCTGACTGACTGAGAGTGATATCAGGCACCAAGGTGCAGCTCGGGAGGGAGTGAACGGGCTCCTTGAGTCCTCTGCATCCTCGATACGATCGTTCGGGAGTATATGTATATGAAGTCATTGCTGCAGAGCCTTCTCATTCGCGCTTCGTTCTGCGAAATCGGCCTCGTACTCGAGTGTAGTGTTTACCGTTCGTGGGCCGTGAGAGCGCTCACCGAACTCGGTAATATTGGCCCTTATCTGTTGGTTTGCTGCTTGATTGGCCTCCTCTCCCGTCTAGTTTATCCTTGATTGGCGTTTTGTCGGCTAATAATCTGGGTACAGTCTAACACCCCACCCGACTGCTAACAGTGTGATACTTCCGCTTGCAGCTCTCGTGACAGCGAAACCTCAGGTGGCGCCCATGATAGATCGGCATGCGACTTTGCCGGCGCGACATCATCTCCATCGGGTGCATTACGCACCGAATGTCGAGAGACGACTATCTGAAGCTGAATATCCCTATTATAGAGCTAATCACCCTGGCCCACCAACGCCGCCGGGCCGAACATCGGCGTCTGCGAACGCGGCATCCGTCGGGGGAGTCGCCCTCCGGGGCGATATGTACAATGTCGGGTACATAACGTATCCGCACGCAGAGCTCACCTCATTCAACAGCAACCCGCTGGCAGCTAACCGGATTAGCGAACACGATGGTCATCTAGTGTAGCACCCATTTCACTTGTAATGGTGTAGCCTTAGAGGAGAATTGAAACATTGAAAGCTGGCGATTTTACTGGAGAGGAAGCATTCCGACGCACGTGCCCGGCTTGCCATCGCGCTAGATGGAGGTATGTACATAGTAGACAGATCTGAGGGACGAATGGTCGGCTACGGGATGCGAGAGTCGGCACGTGACTCGAAATTGCCCCTGAGAGTGTACCGTCCTAGGGCTTGAGTAAATCATCAAGAAATGGTTCGACGACGTCACCGGAGCTCACTCAGGACCTCCGAATGTGGACCTAGAAAGAAAGAAAAACCTCTCGTCGGAAACTTTCAATTTTTCACTTCAACCTTCATCGTCCAGCCTCAAGATGACAACGGCCAAATCACAGAATGAGCGGATGAATCAAGCCAAAAATATATGTTAAACTTTCGTCGGAATGAATCGTGAGTGGCGAATGAATTGTGGAGACATGATGAGCGCAATAAGCAGGTGGTATCGAGGCCTGCATTGGATTCGATGAGCATCATTCTCCTGCACATGAGTGAACTCCTCAGGAACTGTCCAGAGTCCCAGCGCTGGGAGCGAAAAGAAGAACGTTTACTGAGAAATTTATAGAATGCTGCCCATGATGCGTGTACAGACGGAGACGAATCCATCACCTGGAAACCCCGAAAAACTCCAAGATTCCAACCCAAAGATATACTATGTCCGACATGTCGTCTGACTGTCAACCACACTGGAATCCTCTTGACCGCAGCACTCAAGAAGGAAGGATGGTGCAAGCTTCCGGGTGGATCCACGTCTCAAACACTAGTCTTCTGCAAGGGGGAGAGCAATTACGCGATCTGGCGTTCGATTAGATGTACGACACCGTGTGCCTGTTTGCATCCTCAGCTCATTGCATCAGAGGCCATTCCTGACTCAATTTCGATAGCTCATTCCGAGCGTGAGATGTTCTATGCTCCCCCTGGGACATTATTCGGATCGAGCGGGGCTCAAATTGTTGCGAAAAGATTCATCAGACGAGCGAAGCAAAACAGGACAGAACACTACAGAGGAGACTTTCCGGAAAGCGGTGTAAATCTCGGTGTAAATACTGTGTAGCAAAAACCATCGTGTGGCGATGATCGAGATGAGAAAGCGGTTACAGCAGCTCGGTGGTGTGTAAATACGATGAGGTTGTAATCGATGAAGGATGAATACAGTTGGAGAGAAGCAAGTTTGTCCATATATATTATGGAGTTAATGATTGCTATTATTATTATCAAGCAGAAGGAACGAAACATCGACGACGAACAACCAGCGAACACTCCGCGTCAATTTGAGCCAAATTTTTAACGGACAGATTCCTTCGTATTTATAAAGTCACGGCAGCCGTGATTATGTAAGAGAATCGAACAAGAGATCCCGAACAAAGCAATTCTAGACAAGGTTGTCAGCGTCCCCCTAATGGATATTAAACGAATTACTGATTGGCTGCGGTGAGAAGTTTTCTGAAACCGCGGATCCGATCGGCGAGGATATATATTTAAGATCGACAATGAAGATGAATTCTTTCGTAATATGTTGAATAAACTCATTTCGATGGAGCTCTATATCAGACGCATCTTTCTAAATAATAATACTAATAATAATGATAATCGAATCGGGCACCGCATCGTTTGAGAGCAAGCTTAGAGCGTTGAGATTGCGTCGATTCTGAGAACTCCCACCGATCGCTAGTGAACTCATAAGATTGCGATCTGCTCGAGTCCTATTGCTCTTAGCGTAGAACTACGATCCAGCCCTCGTCAGCAGGCGGAGATTGGGTACGGATCGCGGAGAAATGCTCACCAACTCTGTCCGGAAATTGACATGCCCATCTTACATGCGTGGCTCCTTGCGGAGCAACGCGAGAAGGCTGTCCCGAGCACAAATGATCGATTTACCTGGGTGATACGGGCTATAACATGGACTCGGGCTCATGATCCTCGGGAGCTACGCATCCCAGCACAAAAGATCGTGATGACAAGAAATGTTCACTTTGGGCGGTTTCAACAGGCAAGGAAATCATGGCTCGATTCGGTCACCCAGATACAGTTGAAAGTCGGATTCACAGGGCAGGAAACTTGTGAGAAAACGCTCGCTGATTCTCAAGTATTCTACCATTCTATGCCTGCTGGGAACCTGTCATCTGACATCACACACTGATCAATCGAGAGAAGCATACGCTTCATTGAGAGGGACGACCATCTCGGATCGGGATTTCAATCCTTGAGCAATAATCCCCTACTCCGAGGAGAAATCAAAAAATATAACGATGAGCAACGAAAGAGGCGAATAATGCCAGGCGCCGAGCATCGGGACATTAGAAGAGCAAATGAGGTGAGAGCTTCCCAGGTGATATGCTGCGAGGATGCGCAAGTGCTCCGGAAGGTTTCGAGATTCCATTGGTACAACTGAGACGATTCCTTGGTCGCGAATTCCCAGTTTAAGGATGAAAAAGCATAACTCCACGTCGACCGCCCGACTTGGATGTAGGATAGCCCAGGAATTTTCTCGGAAATCTCTTCGCGGATGCCTGATAGGTACTTGTTTGGGGGAGTCTCGCGGCGAGCTCGTTCCGAAGTTTGGGTCCGCGAGTCAGACGAGTCGAGTGTCCCATGAGGATCGACATACTTCGTGATATGGAGTCCCCCAAGCAACACAAGAAAAGAGAGATTATCTGATCTGGCGTTTGAAAGCACCCCGAACTCACATGCAAGTCCAGCAGCGGGAATTCTGAGCCGTGCGAGCCTGAAGACCCATCACAGTCTTCCTTCCTCAGATAAACATAGATGTCATGGAATCTGCATTGGGACCATTGAACCGTGAATTTCTTTCTGTCATTGATCGAGGGGACCTAGGATATTTAGAGCTGGCGCTTGATTTCCCATAATTATCCTGCGTACTAGAGGAGACCATCAGCGAACACTGCCGCCCGCTATCACTTTAGAAATGTGATAGCGGGCGTAAGAACAGCTTCGTCCGTCCTTCGCTGTTTCAACTGCTGGTGGCTGGTGGAATCTTCCCATTCGCTTGACTCTCATCAGCAAGGATTTAGGATGAGTCTCGCACCCCTCAGTACATCCTGCCGCAGGACGAGAGCTATTCGACGAGCTCCACCGGAGACGTTCGAGTGGACCCAATGTTTCTATGCTTCTCCTCTTTGTTTTCTTCCTCTATCAACCATATTTCTCATCTCTGTTCGGACGTACGTACGTTCCCTACTCCAATCCTCCGTTCGTTCACACTTTTCTCCCGCGATGGCTCGAGTTGCCAAGCCAAGCAGAGCCGTGCCAAGGCTCGGCTCAGTGCGATTTTTCCATCTTTTTCTTTTGAAAGGATCCAGCTTTACTTCCACTTTTTTCAGCTTCAACTGCTTCCGCAGCTCTTCTAGAAAGGGGAAAGCCGCTCCGGATTCGGAGCCGATTGCTGCAGCTCGGAGGGATGAGGGAAACGAGAGGATGAGGTGGATGGGTGTTATTAAGCGCCGAGAAAGCTGAAACGAGGAAGAAACGGATTGAAAGGTTCCGCAGGCCGCGGCGGGCGTTTCGCAGGAACGGTTGCCCGCAGCTATGTTCCCATGTAGATTGGGGTGCCCATCGGCTCGCCTGGTCGCCGCTCGTCCATCCCTCCATCGAATGGGAATTAGCATGCTATCATATACCCGTCCTTTCCGCCGCTTCGGAAACCAAGAAACAAGCTCCGAGGCGATTAATGTCCCGACACGTGCTCCAGAATTTCGGTCGAACAATCCCATATTTGCCGTGCTGGCTCGAATGATATATGATACTAGCCGCAGCCACGGCCGACCTCGAGCGAAGTTCCCTTCACGGCTCGATTCTGAGTTTCGATACGTTATGTCGGGCGCACCGAATCGGAAGCGGAGACCCCAGACCGTGGCTGTCGATCTAACCTACCACTCATTGCGGTCCAGCGAACGGATCTCAGATCCAGGGGTGGTGATAAGACGACAAACTTCAGTGAAATCCCGATGAGCGACAACATGGCTAGATGGCACGAGATCCGACATCCGACTCTCGCCTACGTGTACATGCATCATTCTGGAATCGGTCCATGGCTTGTTGTACGTCGACGGAGTTCGTTCTTGAGTGCACGTATCATCTAAGATCTAAGGTTTATCCACGATCAGTTGCGACTCCGAGGATATCCGACAGGCCGCACCAATCTTTTCTTGTTTCCTCATCCCTCTCTCCTTCAGCTTCCTTCTCAATGAATGAAAATAGCCCCGAGATATTTTATTAATCTATATGCAAAGTGTAGGGCAGGACGACAAACGAAGGAATGCGGCCGTGTTCCCCAAACCGGAGATGACGAAAAAAATTGATGGCGAAACATCGTGGGTACACTTCCCCGCACGCAGCAGTCGCTTCTTCTACCTGTCTCGCTGGGTAGGTGTTTCCGTGAGTTTGTTTTTTTTGCGCGGGGAATCTTGTTTGTTGTTGTTCCGGGAAGATGAAGTCTCGTCGACGAGACTGTATTTTGAAATTCGGAGAGTTTCGTCCCTGAAAAGAAATTCCCTCAGACTCAGGGGAGAGAAATCACGAGCATCATCCTCTAGATTCTGCCACGAATGACGAAATGTTCTGCCTCTCGCGACAATATCACTCGTAGGCGGGCAAAATACGCAATTCTGCAAGCATGCTAAAGAGATATGCATCCGCCTCTCGCTCACGATGTAGCCTTTGGCTGAGAGCGCATGAGGGAGAAAGATGGGAACGAGGCTTTCGAGTGATCTCAGAAATCTGGAACGATCACGCCAGGTCCCGGGGTCCGAACTAGAGGTTTGCGGATGCTCATTCCATGATCCATCGACATTGAGACGCGACCCCGCCATGACTCGCGGTACAGGGGACAGGAGAATGTTCATGAAGAGAACTATGACTCCCAGGAATATATTCTACTTTGGGCGCGACCCAGTTACGAGGGGGAGATACACAATGGTGGGAATCGAAGTCAAT